CACTATGTCCAAGAGGCCAGCTACTACAGCATTAACTACCCCAAAGACCAAGAAATCAAGGCAAGCAATTACACTGGAGCAGAAAAACAAAGTGCTGGAAGCACTGCAGGGTGGAAATGGTATTTCCCGCGTGTCAGATGCGTCCACAGCCACAGCACTAGACAGTGATGTGGATGATGAGCTGGTCGAGTTGGGCTCTGCATCTTCAGAGGATGAATTGCCTAACTAAAGTTGAGTGAAAATCTATTTTTGATAGCATAAAGTAATTAAAAAATAAGTTGAGAGGAAAGTGAGTGCTGGGTGAGTCTGGCGGGTGGTGAGTGGCACCAGTGCGACTACCCTCTCACATCAGCTGATCATTAGTAAACAGACCATTTCACGTCCCATAATTTTAGCTGTGTTGATTTATGAGTGTTTGTTTTAACAATACTACAAAAAACAATGTTTTCTTTATTCTAGGAGATGGACTGAGGTGCATCTGGGTAGACTCTCAGTCTTTTTAGTATTTCGTGTTTCTCTCGAGTACCAAACTAAATTATTCCATTGAAACAACACTTCGATTTAGTGCGAATTCGGTTATGCGACCTCTCTTGGAACGTATCTTGTGTTATATCTACGTTCTACTGTAATATAATACATTCAGAGACCATATCCATGCCGAGTTATATGAAATTCCGAGTTATCAAATACCGAGTTATCGAGGGTTTACTGTATTTAGACATTCTGTATGAAAATAATAGCTATTAAAGGAATATATTTGTCATATTAACTAATTTTTCTATAAAACAAGAATCCATCTCCATACGCACTCTGTTATAATGACATCTCTTAAAGAATGTTTCACACAGCAGGCAAACCTCAAAAATGTATCTTGTCCATTATAAGAGTTATGATAGTATAAATTAATGCAGTATTTTTCTTCAATACCAACCAGAAATGACATTAAGATACTATATTTAAATATAAAACTATACAGTACAGTAGACCAGGGGTGGCCAACCTGTCAATCGCGATCGACTGGTCGATCGCAAGATCTTCTCTAGTCGATCGCATGGCAAAGTTAAACTTAATGATCCATCCTTCTTAAGCTGCCATACAAAAATCCTCTTCAAATTTTACTCATTATCATTGGGATATTATATTTGTTTAGATTTTTTTCTGGGAATAGATTATCATTATGGACACATCAGAGTGATAAATACAAAAAAACTTTGACTGTGCCATGCTGTGTGTGGCGGAATCTGATAGGAAGTGTTCGCGTTCATACGGGCCTGTGCTGGCTGGTTCCTGGCGAGGAAACTGATCAGCAAGTTGTCATCAGTTGTAGGCTAAAATTAAGCAAGTATTTGCTTTTATAAGTTTACAAATACACGTTAAACCTTGTATTAATGAATTTGGTAATGAAAAAGTTGACTCGGTATTGAGGAGTCTTGTCAAAAGTAAAGAGAGAGAGAATCATATTTGGCAACCTTGCCCAGCGAGCCTACACACTTGTCACCAACAATGCAGTGATTTTCAGTCATCTGCAATACTTGGAAGTGTGAGGTGCTGCCTCTTGTTATGGAAAAGTCTTGGGTGATTACAAGAATTACTGACTTTTTAGCTTAGCGACAGTTCTCGCCGCAACCCTAGAGTAGACAGAAGTGTCCACACTAGCCGATGACAATTGCTTATAAAAAAAAAAGTTAAGAACATTACACTGTCACGTTAGTAATTCTCATATTCATGTATGAAAAGTCATGGAAAAAGTAATTCTCGTATTGACGTAAGACTTAATCTTTTCCAAATATAGGTTATTGGCGATCAACTGAACCAAAAATGAGTTCTGGACCAAGTACTAAAAATACCCATATTTACCATTTTCACAATGAATGGGAAGAAGACTATTATTTTACCATGAATAATTTGAAGTGTCTGTGCTTGATCGGCCATGTGTCTCCAGCTCTAGCTAAGAAAGAAAATCCTGAAAGGCATTTCAAAAGTTTTCACAAGAAGTATGATAATGATTTCCTGCCCAAAAGTGAGCTATGAAAGAGGAAAGTTCATGAACTGAAATCACAGCTTACTGCACAACAAATTCTTTTTACAGAAGCGAGCTCAAAATCATGGGTAGCAACCATTCAGGGTGAGTCGAGTACTTACAAAGCATAAAAAGAAAAATTTCAAGATGGAGAAATATTCAAAGAGGCCTTTTTAGAAGCAGTATATTCGTTGTTTGAAAATTTAAAAAATTGGTCTGAAATACTGTTTTCTATTAAGGATGTTCAGTTATCAAGAAACACTGTCATGAGACGCTGTGAATTCATGGCTGAGGATTTGTGTGAATAACTGAATAAAGACATACATGTACATGAGCGTGTGTTCTTTTCATTACAATTTGATGAGTCTACTGATGTGGTCGATACATCACAATTATGTATTTTCATGAGAATGGTGTTTAAAGACATGAGTACCAAAGAGGAACAACCGAAAATTCTACCATTAAAAGGAAAAACTCGGGGTGAAGACTTATTTCAGACTTTCGGCGATTTTGTTAATAGTATAGTGGGGTATGCTATAACGAATCTAATTGGTTCTAGAACCTTGTTCGTTATAGCATTCGTTCGTTATAGGATTAATCCGTTCCAGGCCACCAAATACAACCACTTAACACTGAAAAATATAATATAAAATTGTAAAAATTTTAAAAAAGTGCATAAATATGCATCTAAACCCCTGAAATAACCAATATCATTAATACTTGTAATAAAAAAATAATAAATTAGTAAAAAAAAAAAAATTTTTTTTTTTTAAATAATGTTCGTTGTAGGAGTTTCGTTCGTTATAGCATTCTCAATTTTATAGGTAAAACCGTTCGTTATAGCATACCCCACTGTACACAGTTGCCAGTAAGTAAGCTCGTATCTAAAAATACTGATGGGGCACCTGCATTGGCTGACCGAATCAGTGGGTTCATTGCCCTGTGCAGGAGTGATGATAGGTTTCCTAACTTCTTTTTTGGCCTCAAAAGATTGGCCTTTTGATCACAACGAAGTGTGGCTATTAGATCTAGCTTTTTTTAGTTGACATGGCGCTATGCTGAATAAACTTAACTTAGATCTGCAAGGGAAAGATAAAACTATAGTTGACATGATTAATCCTGTGGCTGCTTTCAAGCAGGAACTAAAACTAGTGTCTTCGCAGCTGCAGCAACATCAACTACGAAACTTCAGAAATATGATGTCTGAACTAGAAAACCAAGGAAAAGACTGTGACCAGTTTGACAGTACTCGATATACTGAACAGGTACAAAACCTTGCCTCATATTTTGACAGACGGTTTCAAGATATAGCAACAATAGAACCTGTTCCAACATACATATATGTGTTTTCCATTTGGTAAAATCACAAATGTTGAAGATATTGCATCTAGAATGGCATCAGCATTTAACATGGACATATCTGAAGTCGAGAATGAGCTTCTGAAGCTTAAAAATGATATTCAGATCAAATCCAGGGCAACAGGAGGAAAAATATCCCAATGTCAGAAAATGTGCCATGTACCTCACAGCATTTTTTGGATCAACCTACTTCTGTGAATCAACATTGTCACACATGAAACACATCAAATCCAAATACTGATCAACAATGTCAGATGAACACCTGGATGCTTGCTTGAGGCTAGCAGTCACCGCCTACAGTCCTATTTACACAAAGCTAGCAGACAACATGCAGTGCTAACCATCTCATTAGTAAAGTAAGTTTATGATTTTGTCATGTTGACAATATATCATAACAGTTATTTAAAAATATTATTTGTTTACTCTCTCTCAATCTACGAATCTGCGTATTTTATGGCAATGGGTGAATATTAGGCTGTTAGATCGCGTCAGGGTAACTGTGGAAAAAGTAGATAACATCACACAAAAGGTTGGCCACCCCTGCAGCAGACCCTCCATTAACGAGTGGTTCAATTTACGAGATTTCAGTTAACGAGTTACCTCCCGTAAGGACTTTCAGTTCTATTAACGAGTACAAATTCTATTAATGACAGCCTTACAAGAAACAGGTTATGGTGCGCTCATTAGCTGATCGACTCGTCCGCCAATAATCGGTTCTATTTTTACCTTTGTTTCCAGTGGAGCAAACATCGAGAAAGTTGTGCTCTTGAATATTTTTGCATTTTTACATAAAAATTATTAGTCATTCTGAAATTTAGTTAACATATTGATAATATACAGAACAGTGTTGGTTTAAATAAAAAAATCTGGACCCGGATTTCAGAAGATTCGGACAACAAATTTGGGGGTTCTGGGCTAAGAAGCCTCCCTAAGCAGCATTCCCAAAGCAGGGTGAAGATAATTTTAGGCTTAAAGTTTTTATCTTATAAAATGTAACAGACTAAAATTAACAGTATATTACTTGCATTGCTGGAAACCTTGGAAGACAGTAAATAATTTAAATATAGACATCATATATTTTGCACGAGATAAAATTTTTAGTCCTACAGTGTAGTACATTTAAACGCAAGTTTTTCAACTATTATTTTTGGGTAGATATACTGTATGTAACTTTCTTCATTTATTTTTACTCATTTACATGCACACACCATCCTAAATACATATTGTTAATTCTATTACCAGTATACAATACTTTGTTTGTACTTTTTAATTAATTTTAAGGGAATTCTGTGAGTTGGGACCACTTATCCAATATCCCATTGAAATAATTGATTCAGTTAACGAGTGACTCTGTGGAACCAATTGTGCTCGTTAATGGAGGGACCACTGTACTGGTGATAGCCCTGTTAGCCGGAATAATTGATGCAGACCTCTTCTGGGAATAAGAGATTTCTGGGCAATCAGATAAATCTTCCCGGAAAAAATCCCATCCTGAGGTGAATTTTACAGATTGGAAGGATAATTCAATCAATAAAATTAAAAATCTTTAAGTATTGTTGCAAAATTATAAATGACCAAAGATTACCATAAATTATGGTATACAGTATATGGTATAACATACCTGCAAAAGAATCAGGGATTTGTGTGATCCTGCATGCTTGTTGAAGATATTCTTCACATGTCTGAGAAGTGCCACCAAAAAATAGACAGCATAATCAGGTCCCTGAAGCAGCACTAGGACTAGGTAATGACATACCTCCACCCAGGGCAGCACCCCTAGGAATATGCATCGCACCCACTCCCCGATGATACTCCACAAGCATGTATCACCACTAGCCTGTAACAAATACTGTAATTTAGATGTGCTCAAATAAAGTACTAAGATAAATTTGATGGTATTGTATTGAATTATTTGTAGTTAACTTATAAATACTGTAGTGTAATCTACATCCAGGGTAGCATGTCCAAGATTATATCTCGCACTTTCTCCCTGATGAAGCTCCAGACAAACAAGTAACCACTGGCTTGCATTGACTAAATGGTAAGTTGAAAAAATAGCTACAGTTCTATGATACATGTAATGGAATTAGCTGTTTAACAACAAGTTATAGGTAGTTTTATCTGATACTTGAATATAATTTATTCTGCCAATCTGTCTATCAGCATAAATGTATATACTGTACAGGTATCTCTCGTTTAGCATTAATTCACTTAACATTCATTTCGTTTAGTGATAAATTTTGACACCCTTTCTCACTTTACGTTAGGACAAAATTTGGTTTAGTGTTAGCTTGACTCACTCAAAAGGGGAAAATCTGGGGTTGAGGTGACCAGTGAGATGGCATGTTGCCATTGTTACATATAATGAAAAAATAAAACTTGTGGAAAACTCATTGCAATACTCTACTATGGCTTAAAAATAAGCTTACAAATACAGTGACCCCTCGTTTAACGAACGCCTCGGTTAACGAAATTTCGGTTAACGAACTGCCTTCCATAAGGATCTTCAATTCGGTTAACGAATTTCTTACGAACCGACCTCAACATGTTTTCGCTTGCACTGACCGGGCAACCAGCTTTAGTATCAGTCTGCCAATACATTAATCGGTTCTAGGGCTTAAATTCCTTACTATTTTAGTAAATATCAAGAAGTTTATACTATTCAATAATTTTAAAAGTTTAATATTCAATTTTTTAGTCATTTTAACAATTATTGAACATAATTGAAGGTAAAGTGACTAGTTTAATGCGCGGCATCCAGCCTCTTAACACAGCAAACAGGCGTTAGTCTCTCTCTGTTTTCACTGGAGGTAACATCTTGCTTGAGACTCTCTTCAACTAAACGCTTTTTTTCTGTGTTTCCAAGCAAATTATTGGTCATTTTGAAATTTATTTTACATATTGACAATATATAATGCAGTGCAGTGTTGATTAAAAGAAAATAATCTTAAAATACACCAAGAGAACTAAAATTTTATGGGTGAAATGGTGCCATGGGGTGACTTCTCTTCCACCCCAAAGCCTTCTCTTCTTCCTTCTCCTCCACCCCCATTCTAATTCCCATCATCATCATCCAGGAGCCTTCTACATACACACCTCAAAGTAAGTGAACTTTTCTACCATTTTTGTTGAATTTAGGAAATTTTCGGTGAGCTGGAACCAATTACCCAAAAACCCATTGAAACAATGGTTTCGGTTAACGAACTTTTCGGTTAACGAACTTTTCGGTTAATGAACTTTTCGGTTAACGAACTTTTCGGTTAACGAACGACCTTCTGGAACGGATTGAGTTCGTTAACCGAGGGATCACTGTAAAGAAAATATGATATAAAGCAATATAAAACTATAAAATAAGAAAAATGAAGAGCATGGGTGTGTATGTGTGGGAAGTGAACATAACATAAGTGTGGAGGCTGTAACTGCATCGCTTACTTGCCACCCGCCACCCCTAGATGTACTGTCACGGCATACAACATATCTCATGAGTCAGCTGGATAACTGCCTGGCTGAACTGTGTTGCATTGCCCAAAGGATGGTTTGAATGTGGATGGAGCTATTTTTGTACATAAAATGTGTGCTATTGTATTTATTATATGTGATGTATCAATTTCATTGTTTATTATATCAAGTTTTGTTCACTTTTTATGTATGTATGCAAAATAAAAAAAATTAAAATGAGGTTCACCTTTTTCTCAACTAAATCATTTAACTGAACCACATCAATTATATAGAAGTTTGGTGTTAATAAATAAACCATTTAACTTCAAAACTGTTCATAACAAACTCGTTTACTATTACAGGTACACCACAGACTTTCCAACACCCTTGGTTTCAAAGCCTTGCCAGATTATCCATTTTTTCCGGACCAACCGAGCTGTGGTAATAATAATTCAACAATACTGTACACCTCTGACCCACTAATGATAAACCTCCCGTGTCTCTAAAGCACAATGGACTGCTAGAAACTTAAATTAAACAAATATTAAATGTTAATTAAATGTGATAAAGCCATAATTTTGAGCTACATATTACTGTACACATTTTGTACTTAAATGTACTACACTAAAGGACTAAAATCTTTATCTCTTGTGCAAACTATGTGATGTTTATACTTAAATTATTTACTATCTTACAAAGATTCCAGCAATGCAAGTTATATTCTCTTAAATCTAGTCAGCAACATTTTATAAGATAAAAACAGGAAAAAAGGGAAACAATGGAGCACCTTAGCTTTCGTCTTTATTCAAGACATCTTCAGAGGCAACTGAATTACATGGACTGAGAGAGGCTTAAGTACACAGGGTGACCTTACTAAACATGAGGTCAGGTCATAAACTTGACATCCACTCATCCGCACACCAACACCACCACAAACACAAAAGGAGCTTAAAAGAAAGGGCGACATAACTCGTCATGTTAAGATCAGGTAAAAAATATGGGACCCACTAATCATCTATCCTACATCAAACTCAAATGCTTTAAAAGCATTTTTAACCTTGGACCACTGACAAATAAATTTGTGTAACATATTATCAGTTTTGTACTGACCATCACTAAGGTTTGTAGAATTCATTCTCTAATCAAACTTGCTTCAACTAAAAGTCTTTCTGTGACACATGATGATTTATACACTTCTAAGCTGTTTTCCCAATCTATGGGATGATTATTGTTCCTAACATGAACAAACAGTGCACTGCTTTCAGATGCTGTTCTAATATGGTAGTTGTGCTGTTTAATTCTGCGTTGCAATGCTTTCCCAGTCTGACCTACATAATTTCCATTACAATTGCTACATGGAATGCAGTAAACACTTCCATTTACATTCAAGGTTGGGCTATTCTTGATTAATATATTAGTAATAGTTGAGTCATACTTAAAAAACAACATTAATATTTAATAATTTAAGGGACTGAACTAACGGGACAAATTCATTGCGATAAGATAATCAAAATATTCTTAAATGTAGGAATTTGCCTGGTTTGAGTAGAATGAAAAGTTTGTTAGCCCTTTTAAAAGAATGATCAACAAACAATGAAGGGTACCCAAGTTTTTGTGCTCCAGTGTTTCCCTTTTTCCTGTATATATATATATATATATATATATATATATATATATATATATATATATATATATATATATATATATATATATATATATATATATATATATATATATATATATATATACTGTATATGCAAAATATATGATATTTATATTCAAAATATTCCTGGTCTTACAAGGAATCCAGCAATGTTAATTATATTATATCCTAACTTTAGTTTGAGGTATTATTTATTACTAAAAAGGTAAACAGTCTGGTATTCCCACACATTTATCTAGTAGGGACCGGCGACCGACCATCTGTTACCGTGTGAAGAATATTTTTTTTTATTAACTGAAGATTTTTATTTTAGCTCATAAAATTCATACAAATTACCCGGCAAGAATATAATTTACATTGCTGGAATTCTTACAATTTGATGATCATTTTGAATAAAAACATCATAGATTTTGCATTAGACATACAAATTTTAGATAAAATGTTTAATCTGAGTAAGTATGTTATCTTTTGTGCAAAATATATGATGTTTATATTCAAAATATTCCTGGTCTTACAAGGAATCCAGCAATGTCAATTATATTTTCCTAACTTTAATCTGAGGTATTATTTAATACAAAATGTTAAAATTTATTTTTTTCACCCACTCTCTTCTCTTGAAGGGAGGATTGGTGGGGGGTGGGGGGGGAGGGTTGGGACTGACCGCATGGTTGGAAGAGGGGGGGAGGCAAGGTGGGGTACTTTGATTGACAGATAGTGTCATGAAGAATATTTTTTTTTATTAACTGAAGATATTTGTTTTAGCTCATAAAATTCACACAAATTACCCGGCCAGAATATAATTTACATTGCTGGAATTCTTACAATTTGATGATCATTTTGAATATAAACATCATATATTTTGCATTAGACATACAAATTTTAGATAAAATGTTTAATCTGAGTAAATATGTTATCTTTTGTGAAAAATATATGACATTTATATTCAAAATATTCCTGGTCTTACAAGGAATCCAGCAATGTCAATTATATTATCCTAACTTTAGTTTGAGGTATTATTTATTACTATACCTGGTTTTCCCCCAAAATTTCTCAGAGGGAAGAGCCAGCAGTGTAGTGTGAGAAGAGGGGAGGGAGTCGTGTCCATTATTTGAATGGACATTAACTTGGCGACTGTATTTCTCTATTTCTCTTAAGTATTAATTGTGTGCATGTACCATCATAAAATTAAGATGTTATTTTTACTACAACATAGTTATGTGTCGTCAAAAAGTGGAGTTTGGGGATCGGCCTGGACTCCATTTCAATTAATCCCATATGTTATGTTATTCACTTTACGCGTTTCTTGCTTTCCGCGGTACCCTCCGGGTTACATTAACCGCGTAAAGTGAGGGTTAACTGTATATATATATATATATATATATATATATATATATATATATATATATATATATATATATATATATATATACAGTGAGTTCTGCTATAACGCGTGTTTTGATAACGCGAATTTGCTCTAACGCGATTTATGAATTCGGAACAATATTTGTATAACGCGAACGCTTGTTTGCTATAACGCGATTTTTGCTTACTATTTCTCCAATTTTGTGGTATTAACTGTGAATATGGTAAAGAAGAATATCTCCAAAAAGCGTTCTGATGATAGAATTCCCGGTGATTATCGTAAAAGAAAGGATATAACACTTGAAGAGAAGCTCGATGTTATCAACCTCAAAATCACCCTTCTCCCCCATCAAGTTACATTCATATTTTTTCAA